AGAATGTGTCCCCGGGGGCTGGAGCTGGGAGGTTTTGGAACATGCCAGGCGTGGTTAAACCCCGCCTCGCTCTCCCTGGGGCAGCTGTTACCATTTACTCCTTGGCCCAGTCTGCCCATCTGGCTCAGGAATGAGTCTGGAGGGTGGGTTGGCCCAGGCCCAGGCTGAATTTCTAGCTCCTGAGTCCCTGGCAGTTTCCTGTGTGGTCTCGGCAATCTGTGCAGGGATGGGCGGGGTGTGGGAGGGGGCGAGCAGGGGCCTTCGTCCTGCTCTTTGGACATTTTAGTTCAGAGACTGCCACACACGCTGGGTGAGTCTGGTGTTTGGAATTCAGCACCTCCTCCTTGCTCCCCAAAGGGGACTCATGAAGAGGAAAATAAACCTCTGGACCTGAGGGAAAAGCGTCTTAGTGTGGACGGAGAAGCAGTGATGGGCTGGGAAGGGGCTGTCGGGCGGCCTGCCCTCCGCCGGCACAAGCTTCCTCCCTCACGGGGAAGCCAGGGCCGAGGCCAGCTCCGCAGTGGAGTGGGGGCCCCGTCATCAGGCCCACTTGCCCCCTGTACCTGCTCTGGGAGGATCAGAAGGGACATACATCTTCCTGGTAACTAAGCAATTACTGTTACTATCGCCACATTTTTTTTTTTGTTTCTTCTATTTTTTTTTTTCCTAGGAAATTTACCAAGTTTTGGCCCAGGGGTTTACATCTGCCACCCCCTAGCAAAAGCTTTCACTATTCAGGCTCCAAATGGGAGCCACTGAGGCTATAATTACACTGGCATTAGCTCAGGAACATGCTGAGAGGAGCCGGAACAGAGCACCTGGGGAACCTAAAAGCAGCCTCAGTCCTAAATTGGCGCTGTTCCGTCTGTGGTTGTCGCCCGGCCCATCTCTGGGGTCCCTCTCTGTCCTCTCTCTCCTCCACCTCGGCCCAGGCTGATATGCTCTTCCCTTCCACCAGCCGGTGTCCTGACAGGTGCACTGAACGGGAAGGAACCACCTGGCTGGCTGGGAAGAACCCTCCCTTAAAGGCTGTGCTTCCAGAATAGCCTTTGTGTGGACAGGCGGCCTTGGGTCCTTGCCTGGCTCGGGCAGGATGGTTTGGCAGCGGCTCAGGGAACGGCTACAGGGGCCGCGCTCCACGCTGTGGCTGGCAAGCCCTTGCTTGGCTGTCCAGCATCATGTCTGCTTGGTCCCTCTTCCAGTATCCATCTCTAAGCACGCTGAGTACTGTTGGCCCTTCCCGGCCTTTTCGTCTCCTTAGAATCCCCTTTCCATTCTCTGTTCTCCCTCTGACCCATCCTGTATGTTTCAGCAGAGGTGTCACTGCTTCCGTGACCCCTGGTCTGGGCAGGATGCTTTCTTCTCTCCTCCCAAGCACTCTGACTTCCCCGATGCATAGCCTGCTCCATCGTCCCCAGCTGTATTTCTGGGGCAGTGCCTGCACATAGTAGGCCTTCGATAAAGATTTATTGATTGAATGAGTAGGAAAATAAACCTTAATTCTCCTTCTGCCTTAATTCTCCTTTCATTTTTGTGAGAAGAGAGGGAGTTAGCTCGTTCCTTCTGCCTTTGTAGGGCTGTCGGAGAGGCAGGGTGTTGGGGTGATGGCTGGATCTTCGTTAATTGACCCCCCACTTTCAATCCTGAGCACTTCTGGGCTGGGCTCCACGTTGATACTTGATCAGACGCGGTCTTGCATTGACCACCATTGCCAGCTCTGCGTCAGCTGGGCTTCCGTGATGTTAACCAACACTTTTGAGCAGTTATTATGAATGAAATTCTCTTCTAAGTACATTTATCACTTCCCTTACCAACTGTGTAGTCAGTACCCACCATGCACCCAGACCCTGGGAAAAATGGATACAACACAGCTAGCACAACTGAAAAAGCCTCTGCCTGCCTAGAGCTTGTATTTGATACAAACAAATGCGTAAGTAAGTGTATATTGTGGCAGGTGGTGGTGAGCTGTGTGTGTGTCGGGGGGGAAGAGATCAGCGTGTGGGCGTGTTGGGTAAAGGGAGTGACTTGTTATTGCGTATAGGGAGGTCAGGAAGGACTCACAGAGAAGGCAACATTTGAGCAGAGACCTGAAAGAAGTGAAGGAGGTAGCTGTGTGGTCGTGGGGGTCGGGGAGAGCTTTCCTGGCAGTGGAAGCAGCAAGTGCAAAGGCCCTGAGGTCAGGGCATGTTCCAGGAAGAGCGAGGAGGCCAGTGTGGCTAGAACAGAGTAAGTGAGCACGGGAAGGAGGAGGAGGTGAGGTCATATAGAGCAGGGATGGCTAATAGGAATATAATATGAGTCACATATTATATTTCTAAATTTTCCAGTAGTTACATTTAAAAAAGTAAAAAGGAGCAAGTGAAATTAATTTTAATAATACATTTGTTTAACACAATATCTCCGAAGTATTATCAACACGTAATCAAAGTAAAACATTATTACTGAGATGTTTTACATTTTTTTTCTTATTAAGTGTTCAAAATCTGGTGTATATTTTCAAAATCTGGTGTGGACAGCTCATTCCACGCTAGCCGTATTTCAGGCTCCATGGCCATGCATGGCTAGTGGCTGTCATATCGGACGACATGTAGGTCATGTCTGAATGAGATGGGACATCACTGGCAGCTTTGGGGCCCAGGAGCCTTATAGCTCTGCCTTAGGTGCCAGCTGTGATGAGAACGTTGTTTTGGGGCGTGCCCAAGGACAGAGCGGGGTGCACGGGCAGGAGGTCCCTACCAGCATGGAGTGATGGCAGCTTGGATCGAGGTAGCAGTGGTGGTGGTCAGAAGTGATTGGATCTCGATGCATTTTGAAGGTGGACCTGCCTGGTTTTTCTGACATGGTGTATGACTGAAGAGACGGGTCAAGGAAGCACCAGGATTTTTGCCTGAGCTCTGGAAGGGTGCAGCTGTTTTCAGAGGGATGAGGAAGATGAGGTTGGAGGTGGCCTCGGGGGAACATGTGGGATTTGGTCAGGGGCATGTTAAGTTTGAGATGCGGATGTCGGCGTTTCAGGTGGAGCTGGTGAGCGGGCAGGGGGACACGTGAATCTGGGGTCCAGGAGAAGGTCTGGTTGGGAATATAAATCTGGGTGTCGACAGCATATTGATGGTGTTTCGGGCCATGGGGTGAACTAGGGCCCTGGGGGGCAGGTGCATAGAGAGAAGGGGAGCTGAGCGCTGGTGGAGAAGATGGTACCGATGAAGCAGGCTGAGGAGAGCACAGTGGGGTGGGGGTGGAGGGGCAGCAGCAGGACCTGTAGAGACAGGAAGGCCATGAGGAGAGGGGCTGAGGAAGAGGAGGCTGGGGGTCCCTGACCACTGATGTGGGTGGGTGGCAAATGCCAGGCTGCAGTGGGTCCAGGAGGGAGAAGGAAATCACCGGTATAGACTGTTCATTTGAGGGTTTTTGCTTTAAAGGGGAGCAGAAAAATAGGGTGGTAGCTTAGCGTGGGCCAATGGCTCAGTTCTAGAACTTCCGGTCTTCACCACACCCGGCTCATCTGCCTCTTGGTATCCTGGCTAGATTCGTGAGCTCTTGAGAACGGGGCCTCCTCCATACTTCCACATCCAACACGGCCCCTGGCGGGGACAGGGCTGTGCAGGGGTGTGGGACTTAGATCTTTAAGGACCAAGGGCTCCGAATACCAGGACCTGTACCGGCCACCGGAGAGGGGCCTGGCACCAGCATGCCCCACCCCGAGCCCTTTCTGCCACCTTGTGGGGCCTTGGAACGGGTGTGCACAGTACACATTGAGGAGCATTTGTTGGGTGGGTGAAGAATGAATGAGTAGGTATGGTTCATCCTAAAACCAATGGTGCTGGCGAGGTCTGGGTGCCTGGCCTGGTTTGCGGCCAGTGTGCTGAGTGACCCTGGGCAGGCACCCTGTCCCCCCAGCACCTCGGTTTCCTTATCTATAGAATGAGGAGGTAGTGCCTGGCCTGGTTTGCGGCCAGTGTGCTGAGTGACAGGCACTCTGTCCCCCCAGCACCTTAGTTTCCTTATCTATAGAATGAAGAGGTAAGGTTAGATGATCACCTATCCGCTGTCACCAGGATGTCTCCGGGGGCATGTACAGACTGGATTCCTGCCTTTCCTCTCTGTCTGTCCTCGGGATGGACAACAGGTGCCCTGGAGGTGGGAGCTGGCTGGCAGGGGAGGGGAGGGTGGTCCCTGTGCTGTGTGTTCCTCTCGGAACAGCTGAGACTTGCGGGGTGCGGCAGCCACCATGGCGGAACCTGATGATTCCCGGGAATCCGGCTTTGTGCCCAGACGTTCCGCTCTGTGGGCAGCGACATAGGATTCAAAGCCGCCACACGGACACCGAAGTCCCAGCCTCCAGCACAGCCGCACCGTAGCTGATGGATGTGCTCAGCTTGTCATCAAGTCTGGGGAACTTGAGCCTGAATCACAGGGCCAGGCTCCCCACCAGGAGTGTCCTCTTTTGCGGGTTGGGACACTGACTCACGTGGTAACACCCTCCCCACTCTGCTCCCCGTGGGGCATTTTTAACTGTGAGGGGACAGTTCCAGTGGTCACAGTGGTGGTAGGTGAGGACGCTGGTACCGGTGCTGTTTGTGCCGTGGCTGCTGAAGCTCCCATATGACAGTCGTCCTTCCTTAAATGCCAGCAGTGTCTCAGAAGCCCTGCTCCAGTGTGCTGCTGCTGGTGCTCAGGGGCCCAGAGCTCGTCTGGGCTCAGGTGCCACCCAGCTGTGCGATCTCAAACCAGCACCTTATTTCCCCATTTCCCGCGTCTGTGAACAGAGCGACGGACACCTAGTTGCTCGCCTTTCGGCTTGTGACAAGTCTTCGGTAAGACTTCGGAGGAACGGCCATCATCATAATAGTGCACACTCTGTGCCAGGCGCTGTCCGGGGCACAGACGAGGACGCTGCGGCAGAGCGCGCTGAGTGCCGGGAAGGGGTCCCCAGCGGGTGGGCGCCCCGTGTTCTCCCTATGCCCATGTGGGCCTCTGACCCCTCTCTCCTCCCTTTCCAGGGACAGGGGCGGACCCGGCGGTCAGCGCCAAAAGCAACCACTGCCTGGACGCTGCCAAGGCCTGCAACCTGAATGACAACTGCAAGAAGCTGCGTTCCTCTTACATCTCCATCTGCAACCGCGAGATCTCGCCCACCGAGCGCTGTAACCGCCGCAAGTGCCACAAGGCCCTGCGCCAGTTCTTCGACCGGGTGCCCAGCGAGTACACCTACCGCATGCTCTTCTGCTCCTGCCAGGACCAGGCGTGCGCCGAGCGCCGCCGGCAGACCATCCTGCCCAGCTGCTCCTACGAGGACAAGGAGAAGCCCAACTGCCTGGACCTACGCAGCGTGTGCCGCACCGACCACCTGTGCCGGTAAGAACGGGGCTGCCCCGGCGCTGCAGGTGTCACAGGCGGGAGCCCTCCCTTCCCAGCATCCCCTGGGTCTGCGGGATTATAATCCTGAGCCCAGCGAAGAGAGTGACTTGGATATGTGCAGAATGAACTGTCATTCATTCATTCGTTCATTCTTCATTCATTCTTCATTCAGTGCAGGTTTGTTTGCCTTCTCTGTGCCCAGCCTCATGCTCAGCACCGTGGGGAAACCAAGATGAACAGCGCTAGGAGTTTATAACTAAATTCATAGACCCCTGGAGCTGGGAATAGGAAGGAGCCTTCTGTGAATTCAGTCTTACCTCTAAAGGAAGCCCCCCACTGTCCCCGTGAGGTCATGTGGCTGTCGAGAAGAGGCTCTCATAAGTCACAGAGGCAGCTCCTTCCACACCGAGAGCTGAGCCCATCAGGTGCTGGGGTGGAACACGGGTCTGGAGTCTGATAGTCTTAGGCTCGAATCCAGACTTTTCCACTTACTAGCTGTGTGACTTGGGGTAAATTTTTAAAATGTCCTGAATCTCCATCCCATAAACATCACTTGAATGAATAAATGGATGTAAAACAGGAATAAAATACCCACATCCCAGGGTTATCGTGAGGTCTGATTATACAATGTGTGTCCAAAGCTTAGCACAGAGCTTGGGATACAGCCAATGCTTAATAAGTGTAGCCTAATTACTAGGAAGGTTTTTGTTGTTGTTTTGTTGAGTTGAAATTCACCTCTTCGTAAGTCCCATGTTTTTCCCGTTTGTTGCTAAGCGTTTATCTAGTCCCTCTTGCATCCGTGCTGGGTGTGAAGGCCTGGGCATGCTCTCTAAGGAGACAGACAAGGAGAGCAGTGATCCCACCGCAGTAGGACAAGGGCCAAGGGCTCCCTGAGGAGGGAGCACAGGGGAGGGGCATCTACCTCAGCCTGGGGGTCCAGAGGGGCTTGAGCTGAACCTCAGAAAATGAGAGGGAGAACAGCAGGGAATAAGTCAGCTGGGAAAGCACCTGCAGAGGCAGGAGGATAGGGGAGAGCCTGGCCAGGTGGTGAGCGCATATGGAGTGTGGGCCGTGAGGTGGAAAGGCCAGAGGTGAGGTTGCTGGAGAAACAGTGCTCACAGGAGCGCAGAGTGCTTACTGTATCCCAGACATCAGTCCTTTATGTGCTTTATCTCATTTCATCCTGCAACAAGGCTACCAGGTAGGTGCTGTTGTCATTTCTATCTGCCAAACAAGGAAACAGATATAGAAAGTGACCTGTCTTAAGGTCGTACGGCTCCTGCATTTCAGAGCTGGGATCCGGTCTCTACTGTCTTTGTCCCCGGGCAGCATGCTGGCCTGGACTAAGATAGCGGCATGGGGATGGAGCGAAGTGTGTCATTTCAGAGATGATTGGTAAGTAGCCTTGACAGGACTAGGTGACTGGTTCAAAGTTCCCTGGAGGCGAAAGTCGCTTCTGTTTTGTTATTCCACACCTCGTCTTCCTTATAGTTAGAGCCTGGCACGTGGCGAGCACTCCACAAACATCACCTGAATGAATCAATGGATGGTGACGGCCATGTTTTCTGGTTGAATAAGTCAGTGGGGTGGTGTTGGACGTGCAGTGTTCGAGGTGCCTGGGGGGCCATGCCATCCTTGTGGCAATGTCTAGGTGCAATTCAGACTTGTGGGCTTGGAGCTCAGTGAAGGGGCCGTTAGTTGCTGGGTGCTTCACTGGTGATGAAAGCCGCGGCACTGAGTGAGATGGTGCAGGGGGGTTGGTAGAGCCCAAGAGGGAGTTTGGGAAGGAGATACCTGCATACTTGGGCCTCCTCAGTGTTCAGGCTGTGAGAGAAACCATCTGGGTGGATAGTGAGGCACAGCTCTGCCGGAAAAGGCAGGTCTTCAGGGAGGGCAAAGGAAGTGGAGCCTGCAGCAGGGAGGCTCGGGAGCAAGGGCGACCGGGAGAGAATGTGCCAGAGTCCAGAAGAGAAGGGGTTCCCGCGGGCGGGAGTGGTGTGGTGCCTCACGGAGCGTGTGTGGCGTGTGTGTGTGTATGTGTGCGCGTGTGGGAATGTGAGGGAGTGCGTGAAGGTATGAATGTGTGAAAGCGTGTAGGTGTGCACGTGTGCGCGTGCATGCAGAGGGTGAAAGCCGGTTGCAATCGTGAGGCCTGGCAGGGAGGCAGAAGTGGAGGCTGAGTACAGACCACTTTGTTGAGAAGCTCAGGGCCCGTGGGGACAAGGGCAGCGGAGGGGAAGGGGGGCCTTCTTTATCCCAGGGGAGTGCTGGGCCCTGCGTACACACACAGAAGGGGAAGCAGACCTTGTTTTGGAACAAGGGCTGCTGGAGTTGAGAGAAGGGGCTGACCCCTGGAGCTGGCCGCAGGGCTCAGGAAAGCTGGGAGGAAGGGCAGCTTTTCTCTCTTGCTTTCCTTAAAACCAAACCAAAACAAACCAAACCCAAACAAAACAAAACAAAGACCGGGATTGAGGCCATTTAAAATCACACGTGCATAAGTTAGAGAGTGGTTAGAAGTAGACATCCGGAGCCTAAAAAGGCAGGGGGAGCACACGCCGAAGTGCACGCTCTGGAGCTCGGAGCTGCCTGGTGGCTGCGGACCTGCAGAGACTTGATGGGCAGCATGGTTCCCAGACTCGATGGGAGGGAGCACACTCATTCTTGCATCGAGATGCGTTCTGTCCATGTTCTCAATGCCGAAATGGCCCTGTCAGGCCACCTCACACACCACGTATGTGGAATGACAGGATGGGTGAGGAACTGGATGTCGATGGGAACTGGAGGGTCCGCCTGAGGCCAAGCCCAGTGATGACGAACTGGGGCCTTCAGCATCCTGTGCACACCTGTGGGCCAGGTGCACTCCCAAGGTCAGCAGGCTGCAGGAGCTTGGAGCCAAGTTCACCTGGATGTCTCTGAGGCGTCCTGAGCAGAGGAACAGCAGGAACACCAGCACCCCCTTTATTAGAGATGTTTCAAGGAGAGGACAATATGTGTGCCTCCTAAGGGGTCTGCGACCGTGAGCGAGACAGGCTGCTTTTGGTGGCTTGTATAACACCTGTGTCTGTTTAAAGAGCCAGAGGGTTCCCTCCCCTCTGCGCCCCCCCCACCCCGCTCTCCCGGGGTTCAGGGAACCAGGAACGGTAGAATTGGGAGATGAACTTCACAACATAGAGGGAGAAAGGGGGTTAAACAAGACAATCCTGGGAGGATCAGGAACGAGGCCTTCTTGGAGCTCAGAGTGAGCAGTGTCTGAGAGGCGCTTAGCCACGCAGACAAGTGACGTAAATTTAAGCAACAGCCACTGCAGGACCCACAAACAGTGCAGTCTCCAGATTTTTGAATTGGATCCTGTGTAGGAAGTTTTGGGTGCTCCTGGCTGTGGCCAGGTGAGCTCCTGGCCTAGCTCCTGGTCTAGGTGTACCTTCTGTGCTCACTCTGCCCTGGTCTCTAGAGTGGTTCTGGAAGGATTTCATCCCTCATGGCCTTGATTTCTTCATTGATCACACAAGGATGCACACCTGTCTCCAAGGACCTCTCCAGATCTATGGATCTGAGTCTGTCCAAGCAGCTTTCCAGCCTGCCTTCTCCCTCTGCGTCTCTGCTTGAGGTTATATGCTGGAACCATTAGCTCTTGGTACAGGAGGAAATGAGCAGAGACCCCTCCTCATGGTAAATGGTGGGGAAGGGCGAGTTTGAAGGGGGAGGAGCTCACCTCCTTCCATGTGCCTGTAGACCTGACTTACTGACTCGTGGACCCCGGGGGGCCCACGGAGGAGCCTGGGGGAGGCAGGAGCTGGAGAGGGGCATCTGGAGAACAGGAGGCTCTTCACCATGCCTGGGACGGAGTGGCCTTCCTTCCCTTCCTGGCACTGGCTTCCTCCAGGTTTCTCCCCTGCCCGCAGGGTGGGCACCACTGATGGAGACCTTCACTGTGAAAATGGGAGAGCCCAGGGCCGTGGTGTTTGGAGCAAGCACTAGGGACCCCCAGCCTTCTTTCCCTGAATACCTAAATGGACCAAGCTGGCTGTGGCAGGGGTCATGAGAGAGCCTCTCTGGGAATGGGGCCTTAGTCCACGAGCGTCTCCCAGAATGTGCCCCTGCCCCAGGGCTGTGGTGCCCAGTCCTGTGGCGCCCAGTCCTCAGTGAGCAGGGCCTGCCTGGCCCCTTCGCCCTTCTGCTTAGGGTTGGCATGGCTATGCCCAGGCTTCTACCTGAGTGAACCTTGGCTTAGCATTCTTGGAGGGCGGGGGGTGGCGGAGGGGGGCGGCGGTCAGCTTGGCCAGAGCCCAGCTCAGCTGGCACTATATCAAAGCAAGTCCGTGGGCATCTAAGCAAGTTTGTGGGCACCCCAATGGTGGCCTCGTAACCTCCATAGGATATTTAATAGACCTCCTTGTGTGGTCTTATGAGATGTCACTGACTACCAAATGTTGAGGTTTGAAGAAGCCTTTGATTGCACAGTGATGTCGCCTTATTGGGGCACTGGGGTTACTACTGCAAGTTCTTCCTAACCTTCCTTCCCCTGCTCTTTGGACCAGGGTCATTTTGGGGTGAAAGTGGATGCATCCTGCTCTGGCCAGCTGATCTCGGAGGTGCAGCCTGGGAGCCATGCTCTGCCTTTCTCCTTTGTCTGGTTTCCAGCCCATGAGTCTTCAGGCTTTGGACTTAGGACCAGGAGAGGCTTTTCCTGTAAAAGGTTCTGATATGGAGTCTGGAAAGCCCAGGGAATCTCTTGGAATGAATTCATGAATTGGACTCAATTCTCTCATGCGAGCCTCCCAGTAGGCTCTGACCTACTTTATTTTGGGTTTCTACTCTATCAGCTTATACTTATTGCAAGGATGAATGTAACGGTCCAGTGTGCGTGTGTGCACGCGTGTGCGCGAGTGTGTGTGTGTGTATGTGTGTGTCTGTCTGTCTGTCTGTGGGCAGGAGGGGAAGGAGGATTCTGTTGTCCCATAAACTATGTCCTCTCTATGCCTCGTTTGGAAGAGGCCCTTCTGAAATGTCCTGTTCCTCTTTATCTGCCAAGAAGATATAAATAACTCAGTGCTGGGCCCGTCCTGGCCCTGTGCCATATCCCGGGCTGCAGTTTAACCTCTGGGTGCTGAGGATGTATATAAATAGATTCAGCCTGGGGCTACCCCGGCTGCCTGAGCCCCTTTGTGCAGTGGACACTGTCTTTGTCTGAGAGGATTGCTGGGAAGGTAGAGGGCTTAGGGTCCCCTCCTTCGAGGCTGTCCGCAGGGAGTGGGGCAGAGTGCCTTCAGCAAGCCCCTCCCCCGCCTAGCTTGGGGCATGTTCACTGTCTATTGGCAGTGTGGATGGACAGGTCTGGGTTCGATCCTGGTTCCTTGGGGCTGTCCCTCAGCCTCCTTTGGACTCTATAGAATCTGTTGGCTTATGTTTTTAGCAGGTTATCCCTAAGTGGCAGCGAATGGTTATTTGCGTAGGGGCAGGTGGGCTGTGGGGCTTCTGAACCTTCACTTCTTTGAAAGGAGAAGGTCTTGAATATTTTGAAATCGTATGCAAGGTTTTGTGTCTATGTTCTAAAGATAACTCATCGCTTTTATTAGATTCTCAAAGGGTTCCTTGACCTCCCAAAATTTAAGAACCTCTGCCTTCTCTAGATGGCCAACATGGATGGGTAGCTTCCTGGCTGGGTAGCAGAGAGGGCTGTGGTTGATTAGTGATGCCTGTTATGGGCATGGGAGGGGCAGAATGGGCCCCCTGCTGGAATCCAGCTCATTGTTTCTGGGGCCAGTCGGTCATCTGTTGTGGGAGGAATGGGGGTCTTGGGGCCATTCTCGTATTCATTTGACAACTAGTTATTGATCTTCTACTCTGGGACAGGCCTTACGTTGAAGTTGGAGAGTTAATGAAGTAGGTAGAAGTCTTGGCCATAGGCTGTTCACAGTCTGGTGATAGGACAGTGTTTATCGCCTCTGTATTGGGACTAGAGCCACACAATAAACTAGATGATAGCATTTCCACTCAGGGCCTCTTGAAATCCCACTTCTACTCGGCTACCTACCAGGTCTTTCCTGGGACACTCTGGTGGCACGAGAGAGCAGCCCCTTCTGAGGGAGATGAGACACAGACAGACGAACCTTCCTCAGGGGACTGCTTGGCCTTGAGCAGAACTTGGAGCCCAACAGCTCTGTCCATCCTCAGAGCAAAGCTGTGCCCATGGGATAAAGAAGTCACCATCTTCCTGAAGAAAAACTAACCAGCAAGGTTGCTAGTGGACGGAAACTCTATGCAAGGAGGGTCCTTGGGATCCTCAGCTCTGCCAGAGACCCTGAGACCCATGCTTCCCCTTGCTGGGGCCCTGCTCACCCTCGAACTCTGGGCCAAAGGTGCCCAAAGGACTCCTCTTGGAATTTCCTGTGGCAAGTTAAGATAAGGCTGGAATGTTGACTATTACTTTACTAAAGGTCCTGGGAAAATAAACACGGAGAAGCTGCAACCTAGATATCTAGTTTACAAGATCTGGTTTCTGCATCTTCCTGCTCTGGCTACTACAGGAACATCAGCCTGACCAGGCAGAGAGTACCTTTAACCTTGACCATCCCTGCTGCTCTGTGGGCATCTGGGCTCCCCAGAGTTCACACCCCAGAGAGACAAGGTACACCCCTTGTATAGCTAGGGCTCCCACCCACGGAGTTCCGCGTGAGGGCCCTCACCACTGGGTGTGTGGTAGGAGGGATGGCCCACTGAGGAGAAGCTGCTGTGCAGAGAGTCAGAGTAACAGACAGTGAGATCCGTTCAGATCTGAGCATCACTTACAGTTGTGTGTGCGTGCTCACGCAGGGGCAGGACATACCTTCAGCTACCCTGAGCTTGCACCGTTTACTGGCTCTTTGATTATTGTTGCTTCCACTCATTGCCATGGACTCTCTCCTTGCTAGTGTCTAAGTCTGCTTGGCTGCTCTAACAAAATACCGTAGACTGCAGGGCTTAAATTACAAACATTGCTCTCCCACAGTCCTCGATGCGGGATGCCTAAGATCACGGCGCCGGGATGGCTGGGTCCTAGGCGAGGGCCCTCTTTGGGGTTATGTCCTCACGTGTGTGCACGAAGAGAGATCTGGTGTTTCTTCCTCTTGTGTAAGGGCACTAATCCCATCACGGGGGCCACGCCCTCATGACCTAATTACCACTCAAAGACTCCACCTCCAGATACCATCACGTTGGGGATTACGGTCTCAAGATGTCAGTTTGGAGGGACATAAACAGTCAGTCTGTGAACCTAGACTTACGCTCACGTTGGGGATTACGGTCTCAAGATGTCAGTTTGGGGGGACATATGAACCTAGACTTATGCCTCGTTCAAAGCCTGTTTGGCCCGTATCTCCCTGATCCCTCTTTTAGCCACTCCTTCCACTGATGCTTTCTGGAACTTGTTCGAGTCCTTCACGTGGCACTGATTGTGTGGCTTTTCTTTAATACTCTATCTTCACAATTAGATCTGTGACTTTTTAATATTCTTATAATACTACCGTGTTGATTTATTTATTTCAACATTCTTGTGTGCCAGGCACTGTGCTAGACACTAAATTTTTACTGGCCCTATAATATGTTGTATTAATGTTATGTTAACATAAATATTAACATAATATTTTCAAAATGAGAAGAACGTAGAAATAGAGAGTAACGGGGAAAGGAGGAGAGAGACCTACTTAGAAAGAAGAGTCAGGAAGAGTTTATCTGAGTAGATAGCATTTAAACAGACCTGAAGAACGAGGAGCCAGAAGTGAGACAGATGGGAGAAAGAACATTTCATGCAGAGGGAATAGCACATGCAGAAGTTTGGAGGAAGGAAGGAATCCAGCATTGCTGGGGAAGCAACAGGAGGCGTGGCTGGAGCAGGGGGCGCTCGGGAGATGGGTGCAGGAGGAGGTCGGGGGCCAGGCAGGGCCCACGGCAAGGAGTTTGGATTTTTTTCTGAGTACAGTTAGAAGGAAGCTTCTGAAGCCAACTAGTAACATGATTAAAATTGTAATATAAAAAGACTACTCTTGTCTGTTGTGCGGAGAATTAAGGAGGAGGCAAGGATGACCTCAGAGAGATGGGGAGGAGGTTATTTTAGTATCAGAGATGATGGCAGAGATCAGAGATGATGGTGGCTCAGGCCGGGGGGTGGCCATGTGGAGAGAGATAAGTAGGTAAATTTGAGGCATTTTGGAGATGGATATGATGTAGCTTGATGTGGGAGCAAGGAAGATGGAGAAACTCAAGGATAACTTGCGGGCCACTGGCTTGAGCAACTTGGTGGGTGAGTACCATTTTCTGAGATGGTGCAGGCTTGGTGAGGAAGATAAATAAGGAATTCCATTTCAGGCATGTTAATTTTGAGATGCCTTTAGACATCCCCATCCGGAGCTTGACCAGAGTTATAAATTCTGGGGGTCATCGGCATGTTTACGGTGGTTAAGGCTCAGGGAATGGTGGGATCTCCTAGGGAAAGGCTAGCAGAAGGCAGGGCCTGGGGCTGTGCCCGGATCCAGAACCACCTGATAAGTGTTTGGTGGTGTGATTACGGTGCCCTGGGAACCAAAAGGAGATTTTTGAAAAAGGGGGAACGGACAGCCTTGGCGGATGCTGTTGACAGATCTAGAAGGATGAGGGCACATGGGTGACCACCGGGGTCAGGAAGTGGAGGACGGTGGTGATGTCTTCCACGGCAGGTCTGATGAAGTGGTGGCTAAAAGAACGTTTGCCAGTGGGTTGGTCCGAGCTTCCTGGGGAAGACCCTTGTGGAAAAGGAATGTGTCCGTCATGGAGAAGATGCTCAGCTGTCCCTTCAGTGGCAAAATGGTTGAGGAGGACCCAACACCGGCTTGGCTTTGGGGAGCGTGGTATGGGGGTCACTGCCATCATGGGTAATCCCAAGTGTCCCACCATGGCACCCTGCCCACCCTCAGCCAGGGTCGGGCCATGATTCTGAGGCTCCCAGCCTTGGGGGCAGCCCGTAGTGTGGGCTACATGTGCCTGATGGCCTTCGGTGCTGACCCACACACTATGGTGTGGTTAGGACCCCAAACATTCCCCCTCCCATGTCCCTGGGCTCTGAGGAGCCATCATACAGTTGCCACTGACTCAGCTTCTCCAGCCACGGCCAAAAGAGCCCTTAAACTGTGGGAAAAGGCCTGTCTCTAAACCTTTTTTTCCACCTGGATGGCCCGCCCTCCCAGAAAGGACAGCCTGGGAAGCCCAGAGAAGCCTTACTTGTTCAGCCTTCTTCTTCAAGGAAGCATCTAGAACAGCACTGAGGAGCATTTGAGAGGTGTTCCCGGGGTGACCAGCACGGGGCTTCCTCTCCAGGGTGTTTCGGGGGCGGGATGTGGCTTTCCGGAGGCCAGCCGGGGTGTGTCCTTTGTCTCCCCGGGCATCGTCCATAGAGGTCAGGCGGTCCTGCTTCTCTCTTCTTACACGGCATTAGCCCGGAGCCAGCCGTCCACCTCAGGGCCCTTTGGGGGACTGTCTCGGAAGACTCAGCAGGTCGCTGTGTAATCCCGGGTCTCTGGGGTGGGCAGTCTTAGGTCACCACTGGTGCCCTCCCATTTTGAGTAGAGCCAGGACATGGAGTTGTGCACAGACAGACAGTGAGGTCGTTGCTCCTTGGTTAGAGCAGGAGGGAAATTTGGGGAGAGCTGCTCACGCCCGCCTGGCCTGAGATCATCGATTTAGTCCGGCAGGCATCCTCCTGAGCGTGTGATTTCTCCACCCCTTGACCCACTGGGGGTGCTCTCTGGGCACTGTGACGTGCCCAAGGAAAGACCCCCTGGATGTAGTCTCAGAGGGCACTGAAGAGGCTGGAGTCACGGGGCTGGCTTCGGGTCCTTGCCTCCACGGTTGCGGGAGCTGGGCTGTTCTTTAACAGAGCAGGGCCTCTGGACAAAACAGGGACAGTAACACCTACACTGAAGCCTGGCGCCCCCCTCTACCAGACTGCCCTGGAGCTCCACTGCCAGCTGCTCAGCACCCAGGAGGCTGAGGTGAACCACAGACCTGCCTTGAGCAGCCTGCAGGCTGGTACTGGCTGTGAGGTGGAGGCCGGCCCCCCAAGGCTGGTGGCGTGATCCAGTTGGTGTTCTAGAAAGACCCGTTGGGCCGCTGTGTGCACCATGGTCAGAGGAGAGCAGGTGAGGCTGGGGGCGAGGCTCCTGCTGGGGTCCTGCTGTGATCGGCAGCAGGAGCTGAGTGGGAAGGGTCCAGTTGGAGACACACTGCAGAGACCTTCAGAGGTCAGTTGTCAGTTCTTGGGGACATAATGGATGTGAACCGTGAAGGTGGGGAGTCCGGGGTGATGCTGAGGACTTTCTGGCTGGCAAAGCCATTACGTGAGAGAAGAGAGGGGAGGAGGAGGAGGTCTGAGCATAGAGGGAAGATGTTTGAGCTTCAGACCTGTTTGAAAGCCTTTGGAACACGTGAGTGGAAATGCCAGCGAGGTATTTGTATACGTGGGAGTTCGGGAGAGAGGCCGAGGCTCGAGATCGAGATTATGGGATTAAGTGAAATAATGCAGGAAAAGCAGTGAGCATAAGGCCTGGCACCCGGGCACACGATAAACATTATTTCCTTCAAAGCGCTTCTAAGCTCATTCGGGGAGACAAGGCTCACCCACGTGGAAACGTTAACTACGAAGAGGAGGCCCTGCTTAATTAAGTGTTGTAAGGATTAAACTGCTTGCTGTGGGCATTCAAGGAAGGGGAGCATGTGGCGGGAAGAGCCATGGAAGGTGCAGGGGAGACAGGCGGGTGGGAAGGGGGGTGGGGCATCCTAGGGGCAGAACCTCCCAGGAGATGGGGACAAGAGGGGGCAGCTTGGCGCAGACTTGCAAGGAGATGTCAGAGAGAGGGAGGGTGGGAGGGAGGGAAGGAAGGAGACGGATGGATGGATTGATTGATTGATTAGAGCTCTGAGATGACCCAGGGAGATCAGAGTAGATAGGGTCTCCCGGGTCCCCTCCCAGCCTCCTACCTGTCGGTCCCCAACTCCAGCAGGCTCAGGGTTCTCCAAACTTTTGTTTAATAAGAGGAAGAAATACAGTTAGGTGGGAAGGGTCCTAGGCTGGGAGTTACACTAAATCCTAATACAGCTCTCTGATCTTGTAGGAAACTGGAATGAGTTGCCTTGTTAGGTAGTGAGTTCCCTGTCCTCAGAGGTACCAAGCAGAGCCTGGAGGCCTCTCACTAGGCCTCAGATGAGGGTCAGGTTAGTGACCTTTTTAGATCCCTTTCGAGCAGGTGTAATGTGGATCTCCTGTCCCAGGATCAAGTGTAGGGGATGGATTAGAGATCTAGGAAACATCCTTTCTTCCCCTCCCCCCTTAGCCTCCCCCCACTCCACTCCCCCTTTTCTCTCTCTTTTTTTTCTTCCTAATTTTCAAAATGAAACTTACTGATTATAAAAGCTGTGCGCGGTCACTATGAAACGTAACTCAGGCAAGGCAGGACAGTAGAAAGTAGAAATCACGCACAACCCTAATACCCCGAAATAGGCCCCCGTTAACTAACATTTGGGAGGATGTGTACCTCCAGACTCTTCAAATACGCGTATACAGATTTTAACAAAAATGATGTCATGCCGTACATGCCGTTTCGTAAGCTATTTTTTTCTCTAAATATACTGTTAACATTTTAGACTTTGTGAACTTCTCTGTACATACAGGTTTACTGGTTTTTTGTTTTTTGTTTTTTAAGTTCTTAGTTTATCAATCTTCTCGTGAAAAATCTGGTCACCAGATAGTCACTGACGAATCTTTCCTCCTCCGTTGTCCAGTCCCACCTCGCTTCTTGCCGGCACCGACGTTGGCCTTCGCAGCCCCTCCAACTTTCTTCGCTGTGTTCTTGCATTTCTTTCGCTGTTTTCTCGAGGTCTGTTTCTTCTCATACAGGCCGTGTCCTACACGTCTGTGTCTGGATTCACTGTTCTTTGCGTGATCCAAGGAATCATAAATTATGCCAAAGCCAGTTATCTCGCCACCAGCGAAACGGGTTCGGAATCCAGATACAGAGATGATATCTGGTGTGGTCTTGTACATTTCGGCTAGCTTTTCCCTGAATTTCTGTCTCAGGTACTGTTGCCGTTCCAGGATGAAGGACATCGATGACCATTTGTTTCCGTTGAAGTAGCCTATTCGTCATGAACCTCCTGGTCCAGATAGTTATTGTGTCATTCGTGATGGCGACAGACCCTCAAGCAGCCAGAGAGGAAAACAGCAGTTTACTGGTTTTTAACGGTGGTCTAGTTTTCCCCGTGGGTTTGTGTCCCTGTGGGTGACATGCACAGCTTGTCTTCATGCACCTGTCCATTTATTCCTGTGTGAGAAACTTGTGCCTGGACCGAAGCCTAACTGATGGTGGGGACGGCACATTCTGGGCCCTCAAAGGAAGGGTATACTCAGGCCACAAGAGAGCTCTTGGCCTCTGCACTTCCTTGAGGTGAAGGGCCACACGGGATGGGCGGGCTGGAATGGAGCAGCATCTTCATGGTGAGTGGGAGTGTTTCTGGGTCGTTTCCACTTGTGGGTTTGGGCTGTTCTCCGCTGGGCTGGGTCACTAAGACAGTGTGATCTGTTTCCTCTAACGTCTTATGGCAGTGCACAGGACGGCAATGGAGCCAGTGAATTCTAGAATGGAATACGGAGGTCTCTTTAGCAGCCATCCAAAGGCAAGGAAAGACGATGGCCAAAGTGGAAAATTTTAGGAATTGGTATGTGTGTTGGCATCATTAAACATCAAGCTGGCTGGTAATGTTGAGGGGCCGTGGGCACATTAGGGAGAGTTGGGGTTTTCCTAAGTGCTTTGTTTCTCTGAGGGAGTTTTAAGTACACCAAGTAAGGACCATTGCCTGCTATTTGCTGGTCTTCCTCTAGTTTCAGCAGAGACGGTTGGAAATCCCTGTGAAATCAACGAGTAGCTACCAAGTGGGAACCAGTGAGCTAGGGAAACCCCGGGGCAGTGGCAGCAGAGGCAATTAGCGGCCCCTGGACGGGGAGGACAGGTGGGCGCTTGTCTCCATGTGTGGGTTGAGTAGGAAGAGAGCTGGGCTGGGGGACCCAGTAGAGGGGCCCTCAGAGAGGCAGCCGACCAGAGCACCTGCATCGGGCCCGAAGGTGGGGAAGGGAGAGCTGTGGAGGCCCCTGCCCACCTGCCTGAACACCCCACCTCTCCTGCACTGCCTGAAGGGGAGTCCCTGGTGTGAGGGGGCCGGTTTCTGTGACTAGTGTGCCTCAGTCTCGTGATGGGAGAAAGATACGCTGTCTGGAATGGTGGCCGCTGTGAGCATCAGGACATCACTATGTCTGAAAATGTGTCTGGGTGAATCCCCAAGAATACATGATTTGACCTTAAAACAGAGCTGTAGGGGTTCTTGGAGCTCATTCCAAGAGCATTTCATTTTATAGATGAAGAAGCAGAGGCCCAGAGAGGTGAAGTGATTTGCCCAAAGTCACAGCTAGAGGATGGCCGGACCCTGACGAGAGGCCAGGCCTTGGCGCCCTGGGCAGCATCCTCTTCTTCAAGGCATCTTGGCGAGGCAGAGGGTGAAACTGGATAGGGAGTCAACACCGAGCTCCCAGACTTGGGACAGGGAACATCTCTGAGCCTCGGTTTTTTTTGTTTTTATTTTAATTAAAAAAAAAAATGGACAGAATCAAATGTTCCCTTCCACCTCATGGGGCTGTTGTAGAAATTGACAGAAGGTCTGTGAAAGTACTTGGAATGCTGCCAAGAATCTGCCCCTGGCACCTACCCCCCCCACCGGCCCCCACTGCCCTGCCCCTTGTTTAAAAGTGTGGTGTCCTCAGCACGGAATGCTGGCTTGTGCATCTGGGGAGAAAGATGGAGGAGCGCTGGGTAGAGACCCTCGGGTCAGGGGCAGAAGGGAGGCGTGGTGCTTGCGTCCATGCAGAGCCCTGGAGATGGCGTTTGGCTTCTGGCCGTGGACAGGAGGCTGAAGCCCAGTTGGAGCTGAGGCTAGACCAGACCTCTGCTGCCTTCCCTCTCCTGCCAGCTCTTTCCTTGGAGCCCGTCAGACAGTCCCGAGCCCCTGTCGTCCCGCCAGGAGCCAGCAGGTCCACGGGCGGGAAGGGGTGGCGGGGAGTGGTGTGTCGATCGATCGTGGGGGTCCCCAGTCCAGAGCTCCCTCCCTTGCCTCCCCCACCTTTCTCCATGAGTGCTCACGCCCGCGTTGCCGTGGTCCCCACCCCCTCCCCTATAGATCAGCCTCCCCAGAGGTCAATGGCAGAAAGGAGGGGGAGAAACAGAGGTGATGATGACTTTGATTTTTTCTTCTGCTGGAGCCTGGGGAGGGCGGTTGTTTTGCTTCCTGGACCTTAGTGGAGAATTCTCTGCCAGACAATCATCTTGGCGCTTTCACTGCTTTCCGATGCTCCTCCAACTGCACAGGGTCGGCTATTAAATGGTCATCAAACCTCAGCCTCTATCCCATCAATAGTCATAAAGTTGGGGAGATAAAAGCCATCAGTTTTCCATTATAGCTGAAAGTAATACTGTAGATAGCTATTTTCTGAATGCTGCAGATAGATGTATTTTAACTAGATCAGGGTTTCCAGTGGCCCCAGCTCATCCGTGGGCCCTGTTGGGATCACCTGCCAGGTGATTAAAATGGAGGAAGGGCCAGGGCTTTCTTTTCCTTCATCTCCTCTCTCTTCAGAGCATTGAAAGGGCACGTCCTCAGGTGTGAGTCGCTGGGTGAAGGCGAGGTGGTGGGACTGTGGGCTTTGAGCCCTCGTTCTAATCAGTGCCCGGGTTGTAATCTGCTCATTCGAATTGGAAATGACCCTCCTCCCTGATCTCAGGCTGTGGGCAGGCCAGGGGCTTGGCCTAGGGTGGGTGCCTGGTGATTTTAGGAGCCAAGGAAGCTGGGACAGGGGTGGGGGTGCGGAATGTCTGGAGGGCGGCTGCTCCTGATGTGTGCTTCCTGTAGCTGCTCGCAGACCATTTGGAATGGACTTCAATCAAACAGCTCTTCAGTGAGCAGCCGTCAGATAAGTCCTCAGAATGAACTTTCCAAAGTGCTCAGACCCCAGGGCCTTTCTGCCTTCAGTCTGGAAGAGTCTGGGGTCTGAGCCAGCGGCCCTGGCTCCCGTCTGCACCCCCTCCCCTGGCACTTCTCTCTCTCAGGGGTCTGTGTGGATGTGTAACGTGCCTCTGCTTTTCCTGCCTCCAGGATCCCGCAGGGACGGGTTTCCTGCCTGGAACGTCCTCCTGACAAAATAGAAAGTGCCCGTTCACCTGAGAAGACCCCTTGAGGTCGCCCCTCTGAAGCTTCTCTGTCTTCCGGGAAGCTGTGCTCTGTGCCCTGTTCTCTAGTGCCATGTTGTCCCAGCCCCTCTCAGAGCTATTCTTAGGATGACTGCACTTGTGAAATGCGTGGACTTTACTCCACAGCACTCTGGGTCAGATCACATTTCCTGATTTTGCTAAATGGACTACAGGTTCTCCTCCCCCTCTGGCCAGCAGGAAATGAGATCCCGATGGTTCTGGTTCGAGCTTCCCTGTATGTGGCCTGCAGGATCCTGGCTCCCAGCAGAAGAGACCTGCAGGGCGGGGGTGGCTGACCTTCAGCCTGTGGTGTTGCTTCTCAGCCAGCCTCACAGTGGGGCTGGGCCTCTGGCATCTGCTGTGCCCCCACAGTTGTAAACTCCACTGACCCTGGACTTGGCCAGAGGGACCGTCTAGGCCATGGGCCTCTTTGCTCAGCAGTTCTCCAGGTCCCTCATCTGGGCCCAGGACAGGGGGCCCAGGTTTCCTCTGGCCTGGGGAAGCGGCCTTCTTTCCACCTGATGGCCTTCTCTGCCCTCCCGTCACCAGGCCCTGGGCATCCCCAGCTCTTGGCCTGCCTTCGTGAGGTTTCTGAAAATAAATTCTCTTCTTAGCGGCAAGGACGCCCGGGCTTCTCAGCCTGAAAATTCTGCCCATTTTCTAGAAAGGACACATGGGTGTGTGAAGAGGGGAAGAAAAACACCGTTCACCATTTTAATTCTCTCTTGTTCTGCTGCCCCTTGGGGAAAGGCAACACACATCTGCCTTTCCCTGCCAGGTTATCCTGGGGGCAGCGTGCCCCCTGCATCTCCGGTGGTACACCGCGGCTTGTCCACTTCCACTTGCCTCAAGCCCAGGCCTGGCCCGGTGCAGGGCGTAATAAATACTCGTGGAGTTCTCGAATGCTCTTTGTCTCCTTAAACAGAGATCGTAGACGGTAACTTAACCTTTCCCTGATGACATACCTCTCTCCTTGACTACCGGTTAAGTCGCACAGATGGCGTCCGCGATGCCTCGGGGGTTATCGACTCGTATAGAACTGTTGGCCCCACACTAATTAGCCCCAGAGACTGTGAGTTCAGAGCCATTGTGCTGTGCTCTTTTCGTGTTTCTGTTTCCTTCCCTGTGTTTGCTGTCACCTCTTGCCGAAGGTCCTGTCTGCTGCTGAGAGTTTCTTTCGTTCACCCTTTCTCTTTCTCTGGTTTTCCATGGAACAAAGAATCAGAGCCCCTTTGTGTTAGAACCAGGTATGTCCTAGGAGCCGCTAGACTTTAAGCGAGGAGATAAAGGATTTTCTAAGGAGTAAAATATCTGTTTTCGTGTACAAACTTCATACTCTTTGCAGGTGGCTCCCTTACTCTTGGCGGGCTGCCAGAGGAGTGACCTACAAAAGTGCTATTATGCCAGAGCCCTTTTAGATTAAAAATATATATTTTGAGATGACTTTGGAAAAGGGACGAGAGCCTATGAAGGCCTTTTGGAGTTGGAGTTGGCTGTCGAGATGGATAAGGATAGGCGAACTCTGTTTTCTCTGCAGAGGAATATGACTGAATCCTTATTATCGTTCTGTTTCCCTGATGACTTTGGGTGACAACTCAGTTTTACCCTGTCTTTTTGTTACGGACCGCGGGCCCGGGGGTTGGGGTGAGGGCGGTTTTGGTCTCGGGGATGGGTCTCATCTTGGAGCTGTTGCTTTGTCACTGTGTGACACCTAGCACCTAGTCGGTGATGGAGACAGAAATGCCCGTTTTCGGCGGGGTGCTGTGAGGACCAGGCAGAGATAACGCGTGACAGGGAAGAGTGAGCTGGGAGCGTCGGCCGCCTGGTGGAAGGGACAGGCGCTGGGCCAGGATTCCTGGGTCCCACCTCCAAATCGGCCCCCTCTCTCTGGAAAACCTGAGGGGTGCCGTGTCACCTCTGGGGATTTGCTCTTTATCTGAAAACAAAGGGGCTGAATGAAATGATACTCATCCCAACTTTTGTGTTTCACGAATTGTGACTCGCCTTGTTTTGGGGACTTGGGGCAGAGGAGGAGGGAGGACATGGTCTGAGGAGAACTGTGGGCTCAGGGCATTAATACAGTTCACGCCACTCAGTCAGGTTGCAAAGTGAAGGGCTTTTCTTTTTGTTTTGCGATTCAGTGAGTTCGCACGAGAAGATGCGGGTGTGCGTGTTTGTGGGTGCTGTCCGCATGCGTGTGGCTGAGGTGTGGGGGACAGAGAGATACGGAGGACATGACACACGGCGGTCCTTGCGTGGCTAGGCCGTTAGGAGGGGCTTGCACGTGGCGTGGCTGTGCCAGCCTCGGCTCCCCTCTCTCTGGCCCGCAGACGGGAGCTGGGCGGGCTGTGGGTGAGCCATGCTCCTCTGGGCAGCGAGCGGCCAGGCTCTCACTGGTCTCTCGGGTTGCTTCCTGGGCCACAGCAGTGAGGGCCCTTGTAATACCGTTACCATGCCTCCTCCTCTGGCCCAGAGAGGACATCCCTCCCTGGATTCTGGGGTGCGGGGAGGGTCCTGCGACCGCTCATCTCTCACGTGCGTCTCGGGCACTGTGTCTCCAGCTCTAGGTTTCCCATGTCTAACAGCAGGTCCGTGGCCCCTGGGCTGGCAGGCCAAGGTGGGATGTGGCCTCCTACTTTTTGAGATCAGAAGAGCAGAAAGGAGGGAGTCAGTCCCAGGTGACTGCGCCCAGGTCACCAAACCCGTTTGGGGGGTGGGGGAGTGGAGGGAAGGGAGACAGCGTGTTCTTTGGGGGATGAGTGTGCATTCGCTCGAGCGTGAGGGAGTGCGTGCATGTGTGTGCAGGCATGCCAGGAGGACTCCACGTGAGCAGGTCTGTGTGTTGTCTACGGATTTTGTCAGCGTCTCCCCTATAGTGTTTCTGAACTGTAGGTGCTACTTCCATAAAGAAGTTGCCTTCTTCTTTAATAATAATAAACCCAGGCTCTATGTAACTGTAAAAAGAGAAAACCTGTAAGTGGAAGGAAGAGCAGGCGGGCCTCCTGGGCCCCAGCCTTGTGTCCTGGGACCTTCTCCTTTGGGGATCTCTCTTGGTGACCACTGCCACTCCCCATGGGCCTAAAGCGGTGGTACAGCCCTGCTCCCCTGTCATATGCAGGCTCCAGGGGAATGCCTCTCCGCTTTCTCATACCCCACAGCACAGCTGGGATCAGACCGAATTCTTTATTGACAGACTAAAGGCTCATAGGAGTGAAGGGACATAAACACGGGGTAACCTGCCCCTGGGTGATCTGTTCTCCTTGGACCTGGTGTGCAATCTGGGGCTGGCTGGCCTGTCCTGCCCTGGTCCTGGTCTGCCTCACATGGTGGGTGCCCCTTGGGGTCTGCTGGGTGCAGGCCTAAGTAACCGATCTTTGCTGTCCAGACCCCAGAGAGCAAGGCAGCCAGAGGGGACCTGCCCCTCCCCCTGTAGTTGACACTGGGAATGCCACCCTCTCAGGAGGCAGCCTTGTCCAACAGGATGTGCCCTTCCAAGGCAGGTGACATTGATGGAGTTCTCCTGAGATAGGCACCATGTCACTGTTAGGAGTTTTCATGCCTGACCTCACGTTCTCTTTGTGACCCTTGAGGTAGGCGCTGTTGTCATTTTATTCTTCTATGTTCAGATAAGGACACTGAGGACCTGAAATTTTAAGTGGCTTGCCCAACACCACACGGCTTATGAGGTCGAGCAGAAGCTTGAAGCGGGGCTGGCTCCACAGGCTGTGTTGTCACTGTGACGCCACATCGACTTTCCAGATGTGGCCCCATCAGCTGTGGTGCTTATTAAAACTCTGATTCCTGGGTCCCTCCTCCCCAGACTGACTGAAATAGAGCCCCTGGGTTTGGGGCCTAGGTGTCCAGTTTTCTCTGGCTATCTAGGTGATCACAGTGAGGACTAAAAACGGAGGCACACAGCACACCCTACCTTGCGCTGGCGCCCGTGTCTCGAATCAGCTTGGAACAGGGACCCGAAGAACAGGTCTTGGCACGTGCAGCCTGACAAGCTAATCTGCTTCCCGGACCCACCGCAAGGTGGATTTTGTTTGCTAGTATCCTCACCTTCTCTGCATACTCTAGAATTCTTCCAATGGGAGACGGAGTGAGCTGGGGCTGGAGAGTGGCCCAGATTTATCTGTCATTTACTTGTATGGAGCATCCAAACACTTTCGTTTTAATATCCAGCTGGCATCTGTACTATTAAAATGACCCCTGCTTGTTTATCCTTTGGAAAACAATCGGAATGTTTGCCATGAATCCAGATAGTTGCTGGAAATGGGACGTAACGCGGAGAGACCGCTGTGGTGGGAACAGAGCAGATGAGGGGCCTGCGCCTCAGACTGAGTGACACCCAGCCCGGAGGCCAGTGCCGTGGTCAGACCGGGAGTGGCCGCGCTGCGTAGGTCTGCTCGACCCCATTACAATGGGCTGGCTACCAAAAGCTGCATCCAGTGTGATCTCTCTAACCCCCTGCTGGGGCCCACTTGGCCTTAGGTGACATAGCATTGGATTCTGGGACCCTGAGGGGGTGAGGCCAAGGCCCCACAGCTGTCCTTCCCTGACAGGGCACAGGGAGGGGAGAGAACACAGTAGGAATCACCCCTCTCTGGGGACCTGGTGCTGGAGGGTCCTAATCCTGTTCCCCCAGGCAGCCCTCAAGGGCCTACCCAGAGGAGGCCCCAGCAGTGGCAGGGCAGGCGCTGCCTTGCTTCCTGTGGGGCGCTGGGCGCTGCACTGGGGTGGGGGGCAGGGGACAGCAGAGATGGAGACCCTGGGAAGTGAAAGCCTGTCCTTGAAGGAGTGGCCACCCCATCTGGACACACAGAGGGTCTCAGGTAGGGTGGGGCGGGGAGATGGAATCACATGCTTGCTGTGAGGGGAAGTCAATGGATGAGTGTGGGTAGGTTAAACAGTGTCCCTCCCAGAACCTCAAAACGTGGCCTTATGTGAATAGGGTCTTTGCAGATGTGGTTAGTAAGGTGAGGTCATGTTGGATTAGGCTGGGCCCTGAATCCGATGACTGGTGTCATTTTAACAAGGGGATAGCAAACATGGAGACACACAGAAGGCCATGTGAAGACGGAGGCAGAGACCAGAGTGACGAAGCTACAAGCCCAGGAAGGCCAAGGATGGCTGGGGCCACCAGCAACTGGGAAGAGGCAAGGAAGCTTCCTCTCCTGGTGCCTTCAGAGGGAGCGCTGTCCAGCTGCCGAAAGCTTGATCTCAGACTTCCGGCCTCCAGAATGTGGGAGAATTAATTCTGTTGTTTCTGCATGGTGGCAGCCCCAGGACATGCATGTACTGTGTAGGTCCCCCACACTTCCCACGGGGGTCACCAGCCGGAGAAAGGTGGTCTTGCTGCTGTCACTGTGGCCCCAAGGCTGGCAGACCCTACAAAGTTCATGAGCGGTGGTTAGGAGGAGGCTCAAATGGGCAGGTGCTGCTCGGGAAAGGCTGGGGGATGCTATGGGGGATTTTGGAGGAAAGAGAGAAGAAGAAGGATGGAGGGTACCAGGGCTCTTAGATGGGCAAGGATGGGCTGGGGTCTATTCTGGGGTGAGGGAGTGCTGTGGTTTCCTAGGCAGAGAGAAGAGCTGGAAAAAGACCACGATTTTGAGAGCAGAGACCAAGCTGGACAGCAGGCCTGAGGGGCCAGCAAAGCCCAGCGCCCTCTGGGTGGGGCCTGGGTGTGATTCTCAAGAGGAAGAGGGACAGAGTGTTTTCAAGGGCAGGCAGCCCTGGCTCTGCCCGCATGACTGCCACCCCACCTTGGGGCCCGTCTTGGATTCTGCTGCTGCCATCAAACTCTCCAGAGGGTGACATCTCGTCTACACGTCTGAGAGGACTAGTGGTCTCAGGCCTGCACCACAGACAGTCAAGGGTTCGAGTCCCAGCCCCAGCACTTGCCAGCTGGGCCACAGCCGTGTCTTCTCTCTGAGACTAAGTTCCCTTCTCTGTAAATTGGGGGACTTTGTGTTCCCTGTCTTAAGGTGTTTGTGAGGATTAAACGTGTTAATGCTTTTAGAGGTGCTTGGCGGACACACAAAACCGTTAGATCTCATTATTTGGTATTTGGTAAGTCTCAGTAAATGCAAAGGCAGGTCTGAAAGGAAATAATTATAGAAACAAACAGCATACAATACTGGTTTCCATGGTACAGGTTTCAGGTCCTATACCGAGTGTCTGGGCTGGCTCAGCACCCTTGCAGCTCTCCCTGCCCCAGCCTGGGCCACGGGCTTCCATGAAGGGCTCCGCCCTGGCCCCTGCCCTGGGAGCCTCAGCCCTCCCATCTCCTGTCACTGGCAGCCCCAGTCCGTTAGGAGCAGGACCATGGGTCTCATTCCTTGGCGGGAGCTGCATTGGAACAACCCAGCTCTGAGGTCTCAGTTTTGGGAAAAACTCAGAAATCTCCTCTGGGATGAACTTACTGGTGTCAGTCGTTGACTTCTCAGCTTCCTCACACTGACTGGCTCTGTCTGAAGATGGAAGCTTGGGTGGCATCCTGTTCTCTTTTGTGCCTGTTGCTGTCCCCTCTGCTCCCTTTCAGAGCAGGAGGGGACAAAAGGGATGGGTCTTCAGAAGGTCTGCTCGACGAGGGTGAGTGGGGAGCAAGTCCTAGCCTAGGAGCCTGGTGCCCAGGCAATGTGTCTGGGCCATGACCCTGGCCATTGCAGCCCAGTCCGGATGTTGGCTGTGCCCCACTCCGTGTGGTGCCATTACATGTGCTCCCTGTATCAGAGCCCAGGATCGGTCAGGAGGCTAAGGAGACTATTGTATCCTGTGCCAACTCTTGAATGCGCCGTGGGATATAATTATTTTTTATTTCTTTTATGTTCGGTTCCATGCACACAGACTTCCATTGTGTTAGGGTCCTGGATACCTTCATTAAAATGTCAGCCTTCACCCCGGCAGACCCTTTGCCCACAGATCGCCAGCCATCAGATCTCAACTTGCCATTCCCAGTTTGCCTTCTGATTTTGGAGGACTGTTTTAAGGCCTTCCAACAGCATGTTGATCTCTCCGTGATTTTAAGGCCTTCCAACAGCATGTTGATCTCTCCATGATTTGCAGATCATTGCTACAGAGGAGTGTTTCAGCTGAGTGTTTAAGGTATTTAAGCCCTCCCATCAGCTGTACAACTGGTCTACCTTCCTCGTTGCCACAGGTCCACATATATCAAACCTCAGTGCACCCTGTTGCAGTGCAACAGTAGGTTCTACTTTCTCTTTCCTTTGGACACCTTCATCTCCACCACCAGCAACATCCAGATGAAATTCAGCTTGCCTCTAAAGACATCCAGTACACAACCATTAGGCCAAGGGGCAGCAAGAAGGGACACCATGAAACACCAGGCCCCCGTGGAAGACCACCCATTGAGTTATATCTTCCTGTGCAGGTAGGGCTGCTCCTTGAGCCCTGGGGTCAGATGTCATCAGCCTCATTTGCTTTTCACCCTTCATGCTCTGTGCCTCGGAGCGTAGTCCTCCTGTGGCTCTCTTTGTGTAGACCCTGACTGCCCCTGGCCCCTCTTGTTTCCTGGTGGGTCTAGGCCGTGGTTGGTGGCTTTCCACCTGTTGTACCCCACCTGTCTTTGTTTCTTCTGCCTTGTTTGACTCCCTGCACTGGGCCCTTGTCTGCTAAGGCAGTTCTGCCTTCTGCCAGCTGCCGTGTGGTTCCACCTTGGCTGACACCATGGGATGCTGCCTCCTACCTTGTACCCCAGAGGTACCACAGGAGGGGGATTAAGGAACTAGAGCTTGCTTTAGAGGGAGTGTGACATCCAATGGTGTTATGGCCAACCCACTTTCTAGTTTACTGGGAAGAGGGCTTAGTGAGTGAGCAGTCTTGGGGACCTACCTTCTACTTCAAATTCCCTTGGGGGGCTTAAAGCTTTCCAAGTGGATCTGGGGGTACCCTGCCCCTTATACCCACTGGAGAGAATGGAGGTTGGTGGTGGACCCTGTCTTAGTCCATTTGGGCCGCCATAACAGAAATACCATAGACGGTGTGGCTTACAACAGAAATTTATTTCTTACAGTTTGGAGGCTGAGAAATCCCAGATCAAGGTGTCGGCACATTCGGTGTCTGGTGAGAGCCTGCTTCCTGGTTCACAGATGGCTGGCTTTCTCCTGTGTCCTCACATGGTCGAAGGGGCGGGGGAGCTCTGTGGGGTCTCTTTTGTGAGGGCACCAATCCCATCACGAGAGCTCCACCCTCATGACCTAACCACCTCCCTAAGGCCTCGCTTCCTAATACCTATACATCGAGGATCAAGTTTCAACATGTGGATTTTGGAAGGACACCAACAATTCGGTCTATGGCAGACTCCTCAGCGGCTTCCTTCCGCCTAAGCTGGAGCACAGGTGCCCTGGAAAGGCTTCTGTTCTTTGCATCCAGACTCTGGGGCATTGCTCTAGATTCTGCCTCAAGAACCCACTCATTCATTCCTCCCCATGGCTAGATCCCCTTCTTGCTCCCTGTCTCACCATTGGCCCCGATGACCTTCCCTCTCTCCTTAGGTCTGCCCCTCCCTGTGTCTCAGTTTCCACTCAGGCTTTTCTTTCCTCCGTACCTTATACTCCTCGGCAGAGCCCAGCAGGCGATGTGTGGGAGACTCAGTAGAAGCAGTGAGGAACCCTTCCAGGCCCCAGAATCTGCTCGCTCTAAGATAAATGCATTCACACGCTTGACGAGCTAAGAGCCTTCTCCTTCCTCGCCTGGCGGTCTGTGTTCACATGGGTGTCATCATCTTTCTCCTGCTACGTGCGAATGGTCTCCCAGTACACTTTACCTTCACCTCAGATGAAGCCAGAGGCTCCAGTTCAGATCCTCAGGAGCTCCAGGTCCTCATGTCTCATTGACTTATAGTAGCAGTTTTCAGACGGCTGATGACTGATCTAGTGGGACCCAGTGACGACCTGTTCTCCCTGAGTGGTTTGCCATGTCCACTCTGGTTTCCACCCAGCCTACTCCCAGTGGAGGGAACTGGCAGAAGCTGATCCATTTGAGGACTGCAGCTCCGTGTACTCAGCAGTGGTACAGCACTACCCACGTGGGGGTGGTGGTGGTGTGTGTGTGGCTGGTGGTGGTATATGGCTCCCAGCCCTCTGATTTCAAAGGGAGACCTGAAGTTGTTGCTTGCTTTAGAGTTGGAGGGTAGAAACAGGGAGCACCCTTGTAAGGTTTGGGGCCTAGGGGTAGGGCCAGTGGCTGGGGGAAACGAGGGGCTGTGTGGCCTTGTGTGCGTCAGGGTGGCAGGGCCTTCACATGGGCGTGGGCGCGAAAATGTGCGTGAGCGAGTGTCTTGCTTGCAGGTGAGACAAACGGCTCATGTTCTCTCCTCCCGAGATGCTCCTTCTGTGTGCCTGACCTTAACTGACAGGTTGGAACCCCCAGTTTATAGATTTTATTTTTTTAAAAAAAAAATTTTTTTTTTTTTTTGTAAAACACTAACCTCAGCGAAGGAGAAAGAAGGAAGAAAAAGAAAAAAAAGCTGATTTCAGCAGCTGCAGTTTGCTATATTTTTCATCTTGCCTCAGCAAGTTGAGACCACAAATAATCTGGTCTTATATGCTTCAGTGATGCTGCCACTTACGACTTCACTCTCCTCCTAAGGCAGTGTATACCCAGGAGCCAGCCCCGCTCCCCTTCCCAAACCTGTGGCTCAGGTGGCCCTGTGGCCTGGCAAGGGCTCCAAGCTGGAGGCAGGGCACAGAGGCAGCACTGGCCAGCAAGGGGGGGTCAGTAATTTTGGAATGGTTTCTGGAATCAGCTAAACATTTCCTTTTAGCCAGTTTCCCCAGCCTCACATCCTTTGTTAGTTTAGGAAAAAAATGTCATTTTTAATGGATGTTGCCTTGATGAATTTCTCCAGAGAAGCACAGTGTTCTCATTATTCTATATAATGAAAAAGACTCTTAGTGGTGGCATAGCTGCCCAGATATTTGCCTGATAGGAGGAATATTTGTCTACACAATTCACTCTAGAAGGCCTGGAATGGGGGACGGTGGGGGAGGGGCCGAGGGTCCTGAGGCTATCTTCTCCCGGTGTTCTCTGAGAGCAGACACCAGCCACATCTGGTCCTTCCTGCTACTTGATGATGTGCAGGCTTCTCATCTGCTCTGCCACACCAGCTTCCTGTCCCTGTTCCAGCTTCCTGTGATGGGAGCACGTCTGTCCAGTCAGCTGAAGAAGAGAATTTGGATGCTGTAGTCCTGCCTCATTCCCTTTTTTTATTCTTCTTAAAGAGAAAAAGCCTAAAACGTAGACAGTGAATTATGTTTTCCAGAAGAACGTCTGCATATGCGCTTTCACTGTTCACTTTGGCACATGTGGTTTCATTCCAGACTTCTTTGTAGGTATCAGAGTCAGGTGCTGAGAGGCACAGGGACGTTTCCAGGGTTCACGGCTCGTAAAGAGCGGATGTTTCGATTCAGACGCCTCACCCTGCCTGTGATTCCCAGTGCTCTCTGCCTATTTGAGAATGGACAGCTTACCCAGCCTTTCTCCACAGGGCCCACTGGATTTTCTCTGTTGGTCCTCAAGGCACTTCTTCATGTTAAGAGTGGTGCTTAAAGATGTGTGTTAATTCTTGCAGGCCCCTGGGGCCTCCTTAAGCAAATGGCTATTACAAGAGATAGCAAAGATACTTTTCCAAGTTCCCAACAACCACCAGGCAGGATCTGAGATGGGGAGGAAGACAGACACGCCAAAGGGCATTTTTGGTGGCTGAGCGAGCTATCTTGGTGCCCAAGTTAATGCAACATTGATGCATTTTGCTGTGCTGCCAGCTGGAAATCTGCTTGCAATTTTATTTTTCAAGG